TTTTTTTTTTTTTTTTGTGGGGGGGGGGGGGGGGGGAGGTGGCAAGGAGTGGTATTCTGCACTTGTAATGAATGTTACTGTTGTGCATCTCAATACTATTGTATGGTAGGATGTCATCTTCACCCCTAAAACATTTAGCTTGCTGCCTGCACAAATCCTTTACATGCTCTGCACCAGAGGTTCCCAACCACCAGTACCAGGCCTCAGCAGGTTGGTTGCAGGGTCATGGCACAAGCCCCCTGCTCCAAGCCCCGTCTGTCCGCCTGGGAGAGAGGTTTCTGGGGTTACAGCTAAGCTTCTGGGGTTAAAGCTGGGCAGCAGGTGAGCCCTGGGAGGAAGGCAGCCTGCTCTACGCACCCCGTCCCGCTCCTGCTAGGCCACAGTAAAAAAAAGGTTGGGAATCATTGCTCTACACTTTTTCTTCCCTTTCCCACCCCCCTCTTTTTAAACTATACAATAAACATTTTAAGATAAGTTGATTCAGCCATACAGACTGAGGGCAGAGAAACTTAAAAAAATATGGAAACAAGTATGGAAGGGATACATTTGTGCACCATTTAAATTTGGAAGGGAATGTCTAAAATGCCTTTAATTGGAGAACTACTGTGTCACTGTCACTGTCCCTCTTGACCATCTACCTGATGCTCCACTCACTGACTGTCACACACCTTCTGCCTTTTCATCAGCCAGTACAACAGCCCTCTCCACTTCGACTCTGTCATCCACTAGCGGTATTAGGCATGGTTACAATATACCAAATGGAGTTTGAAGTCTTTTCATCCATATAAGCCAACTGAGATGAAGTACATTGGTAGTACAGTGCCTGTGGTGATAGATTAAGCTATAGTTACATGAAAAGAATAGCTCATTTTATACGTGTATCAAACAACAAAAAGGAGTCTACTAACTTAATACTAGTCTATGTAGTAGTTTTCCTCAAAGGACATGACATATCCTTTCAAAATATTATCACAAAGAATATATTAATTCTACATGGCACTAGAAACAATAGACATCTGTCAAGATGATAATTTCACAAGGTACAGTACCAAAGGCTAAAGCATGCTGTACAGGAGTTCATAAAAACAACTGGCTTATTCAGGCTGACAAGGACGTGATGCCTTATTTTGTCTGTCTGATAGGTTCTGACACTGAATGTTAAGTCTCATTGTCTGCATAAATGACAAAAATAACTGCAGTATCTTTATCTGATACAATGCTGTGAAAAATAATGCATTGTGACTTTGCTGGAGCTTCATGGTTTCTGTCAGAACCTTTTTGTCACTGGGGAAATTTTAAAGGTATACCTAATTACTGGTAGAAATAACCCTTTGCAGCACTGACACTTTAAGGGCCCAAGCCAGCTGAAATCATAAGTAGATTCATATCTTTACCCCTGGGAGTAATCCAACTGGCTTAATAAATGGAGCTATTTACCCAATTTAAAATATACATATGCAAGTGCTTACAAAATTAGGCCCTTTTGTCTGTATGCCACACATGATTTAATGCCCAACATATTACACTTTTCCTAACCTTCTATTTTTGGATTTTGAAAATGTTGATTCAACTTTACACTTTGCCATTCAGTCTTTTTTTTGGCTTAAGTAACAGCCAACTGGCACTAGCTTTTATTGAATTGTTCATATACCTTTGTTAGAATTCCTTCCCTTCCCAGTTAACTATATTTTTCCTAGACACACATGCCTAAGACTTGCTCTTTAGGACTAAACTGTCTAATACTGTGTTTCAAATGCTGTCCATTTCACTGTACACATCATTTAACTAGAGGGAAAACAACTTGTTAGGATTGGCTGGTGGCTATAACATTCGATCAGCTAAATCATTCATTTTGATCATACTGTCATACTATTACTTTTATATGGTTCTTGAAGGCTGCTTTAACTAAGCATGTAAGAAAACCATTTGGAAAGCCTTCAGCTATTCTGATCTCTGATTTTATCCAATGAGGTATCAGTGTGAGCTATATTTTACCTACACACCACAAATGACCCACCATTTGCTTTGGTTTCCAAAAACCTATGTACCCACTGCTTAGTCCCCAGCTGACTGCTCAAAGAGCCCAACAAATGAAGCAGGAACCATGAACAACTAATTTTTTATCCCCCAACCCAAGTTCTTTGCATCTTCTCCTTCAGTATACTGAAAACACATTTATTTATTCAGTCTTTTTAAATAAGTCCTTTAAAAAGCAAAACACCCATCTTCCCAAAATAACCTCTCTTTCCTTCATTTTATGTACAGAACCTGTACATACTACCAACTTCCCCCAGTCCTGCTTTCCTGTGATCACAGGATGGCTCAACACTCCTCACAGACAATTAAACTATCCAAGCTAGATGGAAAGGGCACTTTGAAGCATACCTGAAGTGTGAGTTGACTGTGGCGGATACCATCATCCCCAAACACTGTGAAAGGGGATCCCTCCTCAACGCTTCTATCCTAGAATAAGTCTGACATGACATCAAGGAAACCAAGAACAATAAGGCTACTGGACTGGATGGTATACTTGATGAAGTCTACACAAGGCTGGCAGTGAGAATCTGGTACTGAGACTCTAGTAATTTATTCTTCAAATTTGGAACAACAAAGGGCCCTGGAGCCTGAGGAATGCCAACACTGTGGCCATCTTCAAGAAAGAAGAAAAGTCTGTATTGCCCTCATTTTCACAGCAGAGAAAATCCTCTCCTGCATCTTCTGGAACCATCTTCTTCCTCTGCATGAGGAAGTCCTGCCAGAATCTCAGTGTGGTTTCAGACCATCCTGTGGGGCAATGGACATGATGTTTGTTGCCTGTTCAAGAGAAGTGCTGGCAACAACATCAGGACCTGCATGGCCTTCATTGAACTTACGGCCTTTGATACCATTAATTGTGCAGCCTTGTGGAAAGTACTAGCCAGATTTGGATGCCCTACAAAGTACATCAAGGTCCTGAGGCTTCTCCATGACCAGATGACTGTGACCATTCTTTGTAGTGGATTGGAGACGGATCCATTTGTCATCTAAACTGGGGTCACGCAAGGATGCATCACAACCTCAACTCTCCATTTTTTTTAATCATGCTGGTTCTTATTAAGTATCACCGTCCTTCTGGAATTGACATTTAATGTCATACAGATGGAGGGCTCTTCAACCTGGGACTTTTTTTGCTCAAAGACAAAAGTATTCCAAACTACCATCCTTGACCTTCAGTATGCCAATGACTGTGCCATTCTTGTGCACACTGAAGAAAACCTCCTGACTGCACTGGATCTTTTCAGAGAAGTCTACCAAACTTTGGGCCTCTCTTTCAACATCGAGAAGCCTAAAGTGCTGTATTGGCCTACACCAGGCCGTGAATGTAACCTCTCCCCACAAATTACCATCAAAGGAAAGACTCTGGAGGTAGACAAGCACTTCCCCTAGATCAGTAGCCATCTCTCTCAGAGACCGAATATCAGAGATACTGGTTTTCCCTGATAAAAAAAAAAATCACAAATGATGTGATAAAAAATTGCAAATTCTCTGATTAAACACCCCAATCCATGATTAAAACGAAAGGCCACTATAGATATAGGTACCATTGAACACAATGTTTTCTTGATACATTTACAATTTTAAAGCAATTTGGAAGCCTACCAGTGCCTCAATTGCTATAATAAAATGAATTCTAAATACCTATACATTTTGGTACTTGATTTTGGGTTTTTTATCATGGAAAATCAGAGCTTCCCCTATGCCCTTAGCTCACACAGTGCAAGTCCAGGCTCCTAACTGCCAAGCCACAGCCCCCTGGCCCTGCTGGTGCCCCTCACTCCCACCCCCTCACAGCCCCCTGTCTCTGGCAATGTGCCCCCTGCCTGTGTGGCAGCAGCAGCAGTGGCAGCACAGGCAGGGGATGCCTTGCCAGGGCAGCATGGAGCTCACAGTGCACACCTGCTGGGCTGTGGAGGCCTCAGGGAGGGCAGCAGGCTAGAGAACCTGAGCCCACAGTGGGTAGCCCACACATGCCCCCGCCCCATAAACAGATCCGGGAGGCAGAGGGCCACCCCTGCCCCCCAGGAGTACACGCAGGGTTAGAGGGCCAGCCGCACCCCCTGGATCAGCCGCCCACAGCCCTGTCCCACTCCCCACCAGGGCCCCAAATGTGGGCACATATTCCAGCCCCAGGCCCTGGGCCCCAAACCCTATGCACTCCCAGGCTGGGCAGCAGCCCCAGCCCCCTCCCTCCCTATGGAGACTTCAATTCCTCCCCCCTCACTCTCCTGCAAGACTTACCTGTGGGAGCTGCTCTCCAGGCTTCCTGGTGGCCATGTGCATATACAAGCACATGGTGCCCCCTGCCTGACCACCTGCCTCCTGCTCCTTCCCAGCCCCTTGCAGGCTGGAACTCTGCCAGCCTACAGAGAACTCTGCAAAAGTGCAAAACCCACAGATTTCTCCATTAAACTGAAAAGCCTGCTTTTTCCTCAAGGAAAGTGGGGAATCCGCATTTTCCTCCATTTTCCCATGGGAAATGGAAAACTCAGATCTCTGCTGAACATTGATGAGGAAGTCAGTATAGGATCTTGTGCACAAGTTCCTCCTTTGGAAAATTGCTTCAGCATGTCTTTATTCATCGTAATCTCCAGAAAGATACCAAGATTCAGGTCTACGATGTAGTCATCAGCTTCACTCTCCTCTACAGAGGTGAAACATGGGTGATTGATCATTGTTATCACAAGACCCTGCAGAAGTATCACCAATGATGTCCCCAAAAAATCCTCCACATCAAATGGGAACACCAGCATCCTTACTGAAGCCAATATTACCATCATTGATTCAGTGACCCTCAAGCACCAACTTTGCTGGACTGGACATGGAGTGCAGGTGCCTGACTCAGCTCCCAAAACAAGTGATCTACTCTCAGTTTAGTAACAGTTTGAGACCTTCTGGTGGCCAGAGTAAGCATGACAGGGACATATTGAAGGCATACCTCAAGAAAACAGAAGCCAACATCAAGAGTTCGGAGGAGCTGGCTGCCAATTGACCCCAATGGTGACACAACCTCAACCAAGCAAGAGCCTGTTTTGAGGTAAAGTGTCTTTTCTGTTGAAGCAGAAAAGAGAGAGCAGAAGGAAAAGGAGAGGAATGCCAGCCCTCAGCCCACTCCCCCTGTACAAAGACCTGGAACTTCTGCAGATGGATCGGCAGCTCAAAGATTGGACTCTTAAGTCATCTCAAATCCTGTCAATGAGCCATCATAGAGATTATCCTCAAATTGAGGGATTGCCGACAACAACGTACAGGAATTCTAACTGCTGTGTTATTACACTGCTGTAATCCTTTTGAGATAATCCTGAACACATTTTTTATTTATTGGCCTAAACTGAACTCACAGTTGTGGATAAAATATTTCTATTAAAAAAAAAAAAATCACAGTTTCCTTAATCTTCAGATACTCTCTCAATAATCCATCGATCTATTGCTCCTTAAGATCTCATTTTCCTGAGTTATCAAATGAAATGAAAGATTATGTAAAGTTTAGCCAAACATCTCCCTGAAGCTTGCCAATTTGGGCTCTGGCAAACTGTTAGGGGAAGTGAGTTCTAGAAAGAAATGGTCTCAAAGCTGAGAAGATTTACAACTGTAAACCAAAGAGCTTCAACAAAAATAAATTGTGTGTCCTTACCCACTGTAACACGATATAGCAGAGTTGGCGTAACTAACTTACAAGGTTAGGATTCTAAGGGTGATGTGGAAGTAACCTGGTGCAGGGAGCCGAAAGTTACTGTGCGAGCCAAGGACTCGAGTTCCATTTTTGATTCTACCAGTCATTCACAGCTTGACTTTGGGCAAGTCACTATGTACTTCTTCAGCCTGCAACAAGATAGAAGTATTGTCTATCCTGTTTGTAAAGCACTTGGAAAGGAAGTGTAGGCAATATCCCTCCTGTGTCCATTGAAAACAGGGAAAACTACCACGGATTTCAACGGAGCAGGAGCTCCTAAACTAAAACCACACAAAAAGCTGGCAGACACAACACAGATTACAGGTGTTCCATCAGGCTACTTTTCATTGCTTGCACTATTACTTTGTATTTCTGGCAGTCACCACAGCCAAGGGAGGTGCTCAGTTATGCTAGGTACTTTACAAGTGCATGGGCAGTTCTGTGTGGGGACAAATTGAGATACTTGAGATGCTGGGGGATTTCTGAAGATAGGGATGCTATTAGCTGTAGCCCAAAGACGACAGTTTAAATCGCATTAATTACTTCAATGTTGATCATATAAACCAACATGTCCACCTGATGACCCTGGCTTAGGAAGATAATTAAATACATGCATAATTAAGTATCAAGGCACTTCATTGACTTCAATTGAACTACCCACATGCTTAAAGTGATGTACATACTTCAGAAACCTTCCCAGAGTTGGATTACAGTGCTTACCCAAGGGGATTTCCACTGAAACTAAACAACAGTCTAATGGGTTTCTTAATGTTCTGATTTAAATTTTCCTTTGCTTAATTTCATTCCATGACCTCTAGCTATAAACAGGAAGTAGATGGGAGCTAGCAGGAACATGTGAAGTGAGACCTTAGTATGCACAGTTTCAACACCTTTTCTTTATTACTTTGGACCGTGGCCACAAAGATCTTTTGCAGAAGATTAGAGGCCACTCCAAGGCTTGAGAGGCTGCAAAGTCACTTTGTACATGCAGAAATAACTCTTAGTACTTAACGGTCACTCAAATATCTAACTTCAGAAAGTATATTTTAAACACAAATGTTTATTTTGCAGCTGTTTATTGCTTCATTTTAACATTGCTGAATCTTGCCCAAAATGACAAAACAACCCCTGATCCTGCAATGTGATCTACACTGATGGATCCAGATGTCACCATGATGGTGTCCAATTGACATCAGTGGGGCTCTGTATGGGCAGAGGGGTCTGCCCATATAGATGCAATTGCACAATCAGGAGCTGTTTTTAAAGGAAAGACCGGAACCAAACTCAAATTTCTGTTGCATATAGCAGCGGACCAAGCTGTCTCTCATTAGTTTCCTTCTGTTGGCAATGTTGTGTTAATGCACCAAAAAATTTTAATTTTCTTAAAGAGCCAGACACTATTATATGCCCCTTTTCAGCTCAAAAGTCAGTCACAAAGCACCCAGAACCCTAGTAGAATGAGTTTAATACCTGGACATTTTGCCACTGGTATGCAAATCCTCAGAGTAAATAAGATCAATGTGTAATGAAAAGTCAGCCAGAAAGGGAGAGGCAGACAGAGATGCCACTCCAGCTGGCACACTGCAGGCTCTTTAAATAGACAACTCTTCAGTGCTCAGGCCAGGCACTTACAGAATAAAACCTAATTACAGCCAAATTAATCAGACCCTCCCCCCACTGCAGATGGTCACGCGTTTCATTTAACTGTTTTGGGGGATCGGAAAATCCAAGGCACTCAGGCTTGGATGTGAGATTTCCCAGGCTCTGTACGGTTTATTTACTTCCAGAGAGGGAATACCTTTTAGTCAGCTCCTCTGCTTCTTGGGGCTCCACCAACCCTTCATCTTCTGTGGGGCAGGAAGCCTCCAACACTTACATTCTCTTCCTAGTTCAGGCCCTGGCTGTGAATGTTTATCCCCTTCCCAATCTCCCCAGAGTTGCCTAAAGCAACTGTAATCCCCAGCAGCCTTCAGTTCTCCTGACTCAGGGAAGCCTTTAAATAGAAGGCAGGAAAGTTACAACACCAAGTTGCTGTTGCTGCCTTGGTAATACCACTGGGTCCTAGTACCAACCTCATGCCACAAAATTCTTTGAAAAATAAAGGGGCAAACCAGCACTTGGGGCCATTGCTCTGGCCTGCTCAAACCGCTCACCAGGTCAGATTGTTTTTCTTTCTGAGAAGTTTTTCATAACAGTCCACTATAACCAAGATCACTGACTAAACATAGTTACAGGAAGACAGAAACACAAGTCAGAGCTTCAAGTGACCTTCCCAAACCAGAAAAATTTCACACACACAGGGTGGGAGACACAGAGAATAAAGTAAGAAAAGCTTACAAGAGCTCCATTAGGCCTTGGTATCAGCAATTAGGTGCAAAAGTAGAACTTAAATAGTGATTTAGAATGTTTTATTTTTGTGAACCATACTACTTATTGGTCAAATAGAAGATGAGTTTCATTAGGTCTTAGTATAAGCCATTAGAAGCAAACGAAGAACCTAAATGGTGTTTTCTAATGTTTTATTTCTGTGAACTAATTACTTATAAAGGTCAGATAAAAATATTACAAAATAAGCCTAAAATATACATCTTTATTAATTCTGGTGAAAGATGTGGCGTAGACACCCATACAGTCCAATGGGTCGCCAACTGGCTAGAGTCGCACCGAGAGGGTGGTAGTGGATGGGTCCTTCTCGACCTGGAAGGACGTGGGAAGTGGGGTCCCACAGGGCTCAGTCCTTGGGCCCACCCTGTTCAACATCTTCATCAGTGATTTGGATGAGGGGGTGCAAAGCACCCTGTTCAAGTTTGCTGATGACACTAA